TTTATTTCCAGACTTTATGCATGACCTACACTTATTTCATGTTTATATCTTAGATGAATGCTTTGGGGTGTTCGATAGGTAGAACTCGGGCACTCGTCACGGCCCATCGGTTTGGGTCGTGACAATAAGCACCTTATTTTATGTTTTGATGATCTAACAAACTTAATGTTNTTTGGGCATGTTTTCTCATGTAGGTTGTTCATATGAATTAGTAGTTTATTTCCAGACTTTATGCATGACCTACACTTATTTCATGTTTATATCTTAGATGAATGCTTTGGGGTGTTCGATAGGTAGAACTCGGGCACTCGTCACGGCCCATCGGTTTGGGTCGTGACAATAAGCACCTTATTTTATGTTTTGATGATCTAACAAACTTAATGTTAAGAACCAGATAAGGAACCTGATACACATTCTCAAGCATGTGGAAATAACCAGACTTAAGCTTGAGAGGTTCGTCAGTCTTTAAGAAGCTAAAGAATCAACAAGGGGAACCGATGGACATAAGTTCCCCAAGTGATCGTACCAGTAAATCCTCCAATAACTGGAAAGTGGTTGCCTGCACACGCAACAGTACAACACAGTACAGTAGTCAACTCCATTGGGAAGGATCTTGTACCTAGGTTGCTTACATCATTCAAGTGATGTCATCAATGTTATATTAATATTAAACCAAAGACAAAACATTACTTGAACACTTAGAGAATTCACTCAAGCACTCCACAATGATTGATCATCCTGAAAACGATTCTCAAGTGCATCAAGAACAAAGAACAATACTGTTACGGACCAGTTCCCCATATTAAGTTATTATATGTCCTTAGTTGAGTTGTACCTTTGTAAAAGTTCTTACTTGTAATTCCTACTTAACTTACTTAGAAGCATTGTGTAGGAAACCCTTTGTAAATCATAAACCCTTGTGTTTGTGTCTTGGCTAGAGTTAGTCGAGTTGTAAAGTTTTTATAATAGAGTTATTACAAAGTGGCTTGTAATAGAGTTGTTACAAGTTAGTGAGAGATTAAAAGGTTAATTCCTAGGTTATAATAGATTGTAATCTAAAAGTTTGTTCAGTAGTGAAGTTGAAATCCTACAAGGGAAGGTCGTGGTTTTTAATCCCGTGAGTTGGGAATTTTCCACGTAAAAACTCTCAGTGTCATTTACTTACTGTCGTGTGTGCGTAATTTGAGGAAACTAATAGAGAACCCGGTTCTCTATATAGTTTGGCGGACCCTCGAATTCTATCATTTTTACTTATATATCTATACTCCGTGCCGAAAATAAGACCGTATAGAGTGAGATTTGAACTGCCAATTTCACTTGTAGAGGTGCACCAAGTAATTATTGCACTATAGGAGTCTTTGAGCATTGGTGCACGCACATATATTTTAGTAGTTTTGAAGAAATATAATATTATTATACATGATTTAGGAATATGAGTATTGGTTCACGTGAACCCATATGCATTAACCTAGATATGCTCTTGTTTGGCTATATATCGTGAACTAAGTAAGACGGTTCACCTCAAGGAGAACTCATTGATCAAGTTATATGTTACTCATTATCATTATGATCGCATCAACACATAGTATTAAGGTAAAACAATTCTCAAAGGAAGGAGATATTGTTCACTTAAATGTTCGTGTTCATCATGTTCATGTGATTTACCATCACTTTAACCATTATAATTATACAATTATGATTACCAGCCTTCACCTCACAATCACTACCACCAACCTCCAACACTAACAACCACCGTCGACCAATCAACCACTAGTAACCACTACTAACGATGTCCACTATCAATTATCGCTATATAACCTCCCCCAGCCACCACAAATACCAACTACCTTGACCACCAATCGCCACTATCACTTACAATCATGACTAACTACCTTAACGACGACCACCAACCATCTTAATTGCTAGAATATATTGTTAGCTGCTTATACCACCAAGCTAATATTTTAACAATCAATCGCTAATACTGCAGCAATCGACCATTAATTTTTGACGTAAAGCATTGGTCTTCCTGTTCTTTGTAAATTCTTTTTTCCCCTTCATGATTAACTATAACCATGTATTGTGTTAGACAAGAAGATTTATGACTTCATAATCAGACATAAAATAGCTGCATTATGCAGGTAGGATGTATATAGTTAATATAACTTGAAAACAATTAAAACAATGACGAAACAAAACTTTTACAGCTCTGAAATAATATAACAAGTTTGACCATATATCGTGGACAAAGTAAGACAGTTTATTGGATGTGATTACAGAAAATGATTAGATGTATGACAATTAACAAGGCTAACTCATTGATTAAGTTATATGTTACTTATAATTATTATGATCGCATCAACACATAATATTAAGGTAAAAATTCTCAAGGGGTTAAGATGTTGTTCACTTAAATGTTCTTGTACATCATGCTCATGTGATTTACCATCACTTTAACCATTATAATCACACAATTACGGTCAACAGCTTTCACCTCACCATAACCATCACCAACCTTCAAAACTAACAACCACCGTCAACCAATCCACCACTAGTAACCACTACCAACGATGTCCACTACCAATAACCATTATATAATCAGCTGCCTTGACCACCAATCGCCAATAACACACCATCATGACCAATGACCTTAACGACCACCACCAACCATCTTAATTGCTAGCATATATTGTTAACTGCTTTTACCACCAAGCAGTGTATTCAACCATGAATACCACTAGCCTCCCCATCAACCACCAATAATAACTAGGGACATATGAACCTTATATCGTGCGGTATCGCGGGACACCGTTTGGTTGAAAATTTTCACTAGATATTTATAAGAAAAATAAAAAAAATTGAGGATACTTATAGAAAATGGCACCGCTTATCATTATAGTGATTTATTCATTTGTCCGTTTTCTTAAATTATGACACTACTTATATAAAATCCTGACTAGTAATAACTACTCTCACCACCGATCATCTCGATCTTTTGGCCACCAGCCCACCACCACCAATATTGTATACGTCATATTTTTTTCATTTTCCAGTAAGCCCAAACAAGTGGAATAATTCTAATAATGAAGAATAATTATGAAGGACCCAAGGGAATATTACGTCTTACGAATGAATACAACAGTAGATAATTTACCTATCACAGTAGGTTGTTGTCTTAGATGCAAAATTCTTCAGCAAAACAAAACCACAATTTATTCGAAGAAGGAATTAATAATGCAAAATCACATTATTAAAGACTAATATTAAAGTTGCACCTTAATCATGATTACCTCTGCCCTTAATTAATATTTAGTCCGCCAGTAAATTAAGACATCTCAAATTACACTTTGCCACTTTTTAATTAACTTGCCATAATCTTCCTCTCAAAAGACACTTCTAATCAAAGCGATTGAAGTACTGTTTTAGATTTCATGTACTTCAATCGGAGGTACTTAATTCTGAGGGGCGCACTTAAACTTTCTTTTTCAAAAATAGGAAAATAAATTATTGAACTATTTTTTTCTGGTGCAACTATTTAGAATTCCAATTTCCGTTCACTATTTGCTTTGAAGACTTCATATCTAATCATTTACGTAAACAAGATAGAAAAAGTTGAAAGTAATCTAAAAGATTGAATGTTGCTTATGAAGACAAAAGGCTGCAATGGAACCAACCACAAGCATAAATTATTCGTGAAAAGAAGAAAATGGATGGAGATGGAGTACGTATGCATTCTTTTTTACTTGTTAAAGAACGTAATTGATACCGTTATGACACACTTAAGTAGCTTCTTTATCAGTCTATATATCCTTAGTTTGATAAATAAGTCCGAGTATAGATTTGGCCTTTGACCATAATACCAACGACTTTAATTTTCCTAAATAAATTTTACGGGCCAGCAAGATTATTATAGATAATCGGTATTGTCCATGATGAGTGAGGTAGTAGCTTAAAAATGAAAGCAAATAATTTGTTATGACATAGTATTAAAATATATTAATATAACAATTATTATTACTACCCTCAACCTCAAACACGTGATAATTGACAACTTGAACTAAAATTGTAGCAAAAATTTAAGCACTGTCATTGTATATATTGCATTCATTTGTTTCCTTTGCTTGGTAGTTGAGAAGTCTACTTCTTCCAACTTCAAAATCCCTTGTAACTTAACCTTCAAACCGCAGTATCTCTATATCCATCTCTTCACCAGCTAGCCATTAGAGTACTGGCTTGGCTAGCATATATATATATATATATATATATATATATATATACACACACATACATATAATATCTACGACCCCCCACCCTGCACCACGCACACTAGACCAATCCTCATTTCAAATCTCTTCTGAATATTTGAAGTAAAAGCAAAGAAAACTCTCATCAAACCAACCTTATAGCAATCATGATCTAATAATATTTGTCTCATATCTCTCCTTGCATTTTCACCTTACAGAACAGAAAGAAAGAAAAAACAATATGGAAACACCAAAAAAAGAAGCTATGGATTTTCATTCCAACGTGGATTCTTCACGGCCTTTTCGTTCAATCAAAGAAGCTGTAGCCATCTTTGGCGAGCGATTCTTGGCTAAAGAAATTTATTCTCCAAAACCTTTCACGTTTCCAACTCAAGAAAGTCCGTGGAATAATAATAATCATAATAATTTTTCTCCAAGTCCTGGAAGTGTTAATTATTCCCAAGAAATTGTTACTACCGCCACGTCATGGAAATCTGCTTCATCACCAAATCCTCAAGATTTCAACAATGATCCTCTTGTTGTGGAAGCACTGAAGAAGCTTGAAACTGAGCTGGAAGAAACAAAGACAGAATTGAAGCTTTTGAAAGCAAGAGAATTCGAGACTGAAATTGCTTTAGCTTCTTTAAACGCGGAGCTTCATAAGAACATGTCGAAACTGGCACAAGCGGAAGCAGCTCACGCAGGTTAGAGGCGATTTCATGATTTTTATCTTAATTTAGTTTCAAGTTCTGAGTTTTCTGAAAAATATGAGATCAGTATGTATGACTGGAACTTTTTTTAGGAAAATCTTGTCGGTAAGAAAGTTTTTGGTGTTTGGTTACTTGAAAATATTATTTTTCCGGGAGTTATTTCGACTTTTAACTTCATATTAATTGCGTCAATACTTTTAGCTGAAGTCATTTTCCTTTATTATATGATTAACTTAGTATTAGTTGCTCCAACTAGGGTGGTTGTTCGGTACTTCGGTATGTTATTTATGAATTACGGTTCGGTATTTCGGTATTCGGTATATCAATTGTGCATACAAATTACCGTATCCAATTAGTTCGGTACGGTTTGATATTTTCTTATTTGGTTCGGTACAATTCAGTACGGTTTCTTGGCACTGGCGAGTGGAAACCGCATATATATAGTTAAAAAAACTTATCATTTCATTGCACTAGCAATTAAATAGTTGGGCAGAGAAAGCTTGTCATAAAGCGAACCAAATCTTAATTAAGATTAATATATATTGCTCCAGTTGAGAAAGTTTTCAAAACACAAGTTCTCAATTCTGATTAACAGAACAATTTTCATCTCCATGTTTAGTAGTAATTGTTTGTTAAAATGCCAAAACAATAAAATCTATAGCCTTTTAATGAAATGGACAAAGAATATTGGGTTAGGGGTTTAGGCTTTTGGGCTCGGCCTCTAGGCAGTGTAGGAATTTAGGTAAAATTAATTCGGTATTTTGAAATATCAAAAATTTAATACCGAGTACCATACCGAAATACCGAAAATTTGATACCAAAATATCGAATTAATTTGATTCGAAATTCGATTTTTCGGATTTTATGTCCGCCTCTAACTCCAACTAGGACAAATATGAGTATTTTATTCATCAACGCGTTATTGAGTTGCAAATATTACATTAGCTCATAATGTTTAGTATATATTTTTAAAAAATATTTTTCACACCATCACTTTCCTTTTTCCGGAAGAAAGGTGGGGTACACACAAAATCAAAATTGATGATGAAGATATCCTAATAAATGGAAGGGGCAAATTAAAGGATAAGTTCCGCTCTCATCCCAATAGAGACATGCAACAACAACAACAATAACAACAACCCAGTAAAATTTACTAATTGGGTATGGGGAAGGAAGTGTGTACGCAGACTTTACCCATACCCTGAAGGAGTAGAGAGGCTATTTCCGAAAGACCCTTGGCTCAAGAAAACAAAAAGACAAAATGACAAAAGGAGACAATATTAGTATCACCACAGCAATCATAGGAAAAATAGGAACACCATGAAATCCAGAAAAAAGATGCAAAGCAAAAGCGATAACTAGTACATAGGTCCTGCACTGAAAAACAAAATAATAAGACACAATATTGCCACTAGCTATCTTAGATAAAACCCCTGCCTGGCTAGTCCCACAATAGTACGAAGTAAGGCAAGACTCAGCTACCTCCTAACCTACAACCCTAATACTCGACCTCTACATCTTCTTATCAAGTGTCATGTCTTCAGAAATCTGGAGCATCACAATATCCTGCCTGATCACCTCTCCACAATACTTCTTAGGCCGCCCTCTACCTCTTCTCGTGCCCTCCACAGCCCGCCGCTCACACCTCCGTACCGGAGAATCTGGACTTCTCCTCTGAACATGTCCGAACCATCTAAGCGTCGCTTCCCGCATCTTGTCATCAATGGGAGTCACATGCACCTTCTCCCGAATATCATCATTCCTAATCTTATATATCCTAGTGTACCCGCACATCCACCTCAATATCCTCATTTCTGCTACTTTCATCTTCTGGATATGTGAGTTCTTAATGGGCCAACACTCAGCCCCATACATCATGGACGGTCTAACCACCGCTTTATAGAACTTACCTTTGAGTATCAGTGGCACTCTCTTGTCACACAGGACTCCAGATGCTAACCTCTACTTTATCCATCCTACCCCTATACGGTGTGTGATATCCTCGTCGATCTCTCCTCCCCCCTAGATAACCGAACCAAGGTACTTGAAGTTGCCTCTACTCGTGATGACTTGTGATTCAAGCCTCACATCCACGCCCACTTCCCCCGGCTCAGCGCTGAAATTACACTTCGGGTATTATTTCTTCGTCCTGCTCAGCTTGAAACCCTTAGACTCAAGAGTTTGTCTCCAAACCTCCAGCCTCTCATTAACACCGGCTCGCGACTCATCAATTAGAACTATGTCATCGGTGAATAGCATGCACCATGGCATCTCCCCTTGAATATGGTGTGTTAACGCGTCCATTACCAGGGCGAATAAGAACAGACTGAGCGCAGAACCTTGGTGTAATCCCATTACACCCGGAAAATGCTTAGAGTCGCCTCCTACTGTCCTAACCCGAGTCTTAGCCCCATCATAAATGTCCTTAATCGCCATAATATAGGGAAGCGATACACCTTTTGCCTCCAGGCATCTCGAGAGAACTTCTCTAGGAACCTTGTCATACGCTTTCTCTAGGTCAATAAACACCAAGTGCATATCCTTCTTCCTCTCTCTGTACAGTTATGCCAACCTCCTAACAAGGTGTATAGCTTCTGTAGTCGAACGACCCGGCATGAACTCGAACTGGTTGTCAGATACAGACACTATCATCCTCACCCTCGCTTCAACCACCCTCTCCCATACTTTCATGGTATGACTTAGTAATTTGATACCCCTACAATGGAACTGCCGTACTCCAGCTCCACTCATCCGGCATCCTCTTCGCCTTAAAAATAACACTAAATAACCTAGTCAACCACTCCCAAATCTGCTCTCCCCACACACTTTCAAAATTCTACCAGAATCTCATTTGGCCCGGTCGCTCTGCCCCTACTCATCTTACGCACAGCTCCCACGACCTCCTCAACCTCGATACGCCTGCAGTACCCAAAGTCACGGTGACTCTCGGGATTCTCCAATTCGCCTAGCATAATATTCCGATCCCCTTCTTCATTCAGAAGTTTATGAAAGTAAGTCTGCCATATCCTCTTAATCTGGGCATCTTCCATCAATACTCTACCATCTTCGTCATTGATACATCTCACTTGGTCCAAATCCAGAGCCTTCCTCTCTCTCTCAACTTGGCCAGCCGGAATAACTTCTTCTCCCCGCCTTTTTTCCCCAGTTCCTCGTACATACGTCCATTAGCCGCAGTCTTAGCCTCTCTGACCGCCAGCTTAGTCTCCTTCCTAGATACCTTATACCTCTCCATGCACGCTCGCATCTCCCCCTCTCCTATGCTCCCCACTAAGTTCAGGTACGCCACCTTCTTCGCTTCCACTTTACCTTGGACCACCTCATTCCACCACCAGTCTCTTTTGTACCCACCAGAGACGCCCGTCGAGACCCCTAACACCTCTTTTGCAGCCTCCCTAATACAGTCTGTTATCGCTGACCACATAGTGCTCGCGTCACCACTGCTCCTCCAAGTTCTCATACCCGACAACCGCCCCTCCAACTCTTGGGCGTCATCTTTAGTTAAGGCTCCCCACCTGATTCTTGGTCTTCCTCAAGCAGACCTTTTCCTTCTCTTTAACATAATACCAACGTCCATCACCAAGAGCCTATGTTGCATCGCTAGTATCTCACCCGGAATCACCTTGCAATCCTTGCACAACCCTCTGTCACACCTCCTGAGGAGGAGATAGTCAATCTCAATCTTCGCCGCCGCATTTTAAAAAGTAACCAAATGCCCCTCCCTCTTCGGAAAGCTAGAGTTCACAATCACCAACCCAAAAGCCTTAGCGAAGTCCAACAGTGATGTACCTCCTCCGTTCCTCTCCCCAAAACTGACGCCTCCATGCACCTCGCCATAACTACCTGCGGTTAACCCAATATGCCCATTAAAAATCCCCTCATATGAATAGCTTCTCAGCAGGCGGAACCTGGCGCACAATCTCATCTAACCCCTCTCAAAAGCTCCGTTTAACCTCCTCATCTAGACCCACATACGGCGCATAGGCGCTAACAATATTTAGGGTGCACTCCCCAACCACCAACTTAATAGTCATCAATCTATCATTCACCCGTCTAACCTCAACCACATATTCTCTAAGTTTCCTATCCACCAAGATGCCCACTCCATTCTTACCTTTATGGACTCCTGAGTACTAAAGTTTATACCCGTCTGCATCCTTCGCCCTCGACCCTACCCATCTTATCTCCTGGACACACGCTATATTGATCCTTCTCTTCTGGAGGATCTTTGCCAATTCTATAGACNCCTCCCCCCCCAAGGACATGACCTCACTCGGCCATCCCTGACCACAGCCACTATACCTACGGCAGAGTAAGGGAAATCACTATCACACACAAGGCAACCGACCAAATCAGAAGAAGACAAGTTGTAACTACAGACACATTAATATGGTGAATAAACTAATACGAACTACGATGGCAGCAATTTAACTAACACAACAAAGGAAAACTGGAAAACGGGAGGTACCAACTCCCGCAAGTAGAACCTTGGAATTGTCTTGGTATATACGACGATGTTGCGGCCACCTAGCACGTTCGCGTCCAACTCCTGCCGCCCCTTGTTGACACTCGCCCGGGTTGTTCTTCAATGTTTGCACACGCACGTCCCTTTCACCGCTAATAGCCACATGCCCCAACCTGAAATACATACAAAACACCAACAAAGGGGGAGGGGTTGTCACCGCTACCACTGGTGAGGCCCCACCCGTAGCAAAGGAGCACAAAAAAGGATGAAATAAAACCTTAAGTTGGTTTGAAAAAAACAGTCAATTCAAAAATAATCACAAGAAAAATGACTGGATCTGAACACTGATCCGTAAAGAATGTAAAATTAAACTTGACACTTTACGTATCTTTCTATAATTTCAAAATAAAAGCTAGTGAAAGAGAAAAATGGCTAGAGGAAGAATAAGATATGAGAGAACGGGAAATCTGTATCCATAAGGAATGTAAAATTAAAAATATAATAATTTTATTTTACAAGTTATTTAAGAACTTTAGAAGATGAAGAACAACAATGTTTCTGAATCTTTTCTGTTTTACAATCAAATAAAATTTATCGGGTAACTACAAAATAGAAACCAAATATACTATTAAAAAAACACACACACAGGGAATGTAATATATTAATTCAGCAGTAAGAAAATAGAGACTATGACCAATTAAACTCTGTTACCTGGCAGTGTCCCTGAAGAAAAACTTGAACTTGGAGCAGAGCAACGAGATTTTCAGACTCCGATAGTGAACCAGATCTAGGGTTTCAGCAAGAGAGAGAGCCCTATAGAGACATGCACAATATTAATACTAGCAATAGTCCAATTTATGATTATGAAGATTTTTTATCTTAACACTAAAAAACATTGTTCAAAAAATACTAAATATTTATAGGAAAACAACTTTTATGAAAATGACTTGTATCCTACTTTACACATATATTTATACTTTTTCTTGTGGCACTCAATATCTGTACTAAATTTAAAGATTTGTCACATATATACTTTTATTGTCCGTTTAAAAAATTGTGAGTTCAATTGACTACATCCCTGCTAATGCAGGTGCAATGGCAGCGTCAAGATCAGTGAAAATTAACAATGAAGATTATTATGGTAATAATCCTAAAGGGGAGGATAATAAACTGAAAAAGGAAATGAGAGTAAGATGGGAGTCATCACCAACTTTAGCAGAGATGTTAACAATTGGAGATACAGATCTTGGGTTGTTTGGATCATCTGGTAAGAAAAAGGACAAGAAGAAGAAGCCTATCATTCCTCTTGTCGGAGACTTGTTCTCAAGGAAGAAAAAATCTCCAACTACTATGGATAATCCACTCTTTTCTTCTTCTCATCTCTTCTGAATTGAAAAAAAAAGAAGACAACAAAACAGAATAAGAACTTCATCATTTTAACTAATTAACTTTATTTTTTCTATGTTCTTTCTGCTGAGATTCAAGAACAATGGGTGTTGGTGTCGAACATCATGAGGAAACACCATCTCTTTAATTCGTGTGTATGTGTGATAATGCTAGTTTTTTTTCTTTCTTTCTTTTCCTATATTTTTTCCTCTCCAAATTTTCGTGCATATTTCAATGTTCAATGTTGCTGTGTCAATGATTTCACTTACCCTTTTTCTAGTATTATTAATTACTTCATTATCTTTTGCATTCTTGGCTTTGATATATGTATTTCTTAATTTCATGGATAATCATAAATAAGAAGGATTAAAGAGTTTCTTATTGATTTTGAAATTAACAACTTTCTAAATAATCTCAAATTTTTATATATAAATAATGACCAGCAGTTTGAGAAGATAAATGTGTTCACAAAAAAGGCCAGAAATACAAATGGGGTTCTGGCAATTAAGCATCCTCAGCAGCTCGGCTAACTTAGGATATGTTGAAATTATAATATGTATGAATATTTGTTAACTTCGAAATTAATTAACTTTATTGACTTTTTTATATTGAAAGTGTATACAACTTAAATCATTTCGATAATAATCAACTCCATGTTCTTGTTTAGAGATTATTGACGGGTATTAGAAATAGTATAGTATATATCTACAAATTAGCATTTTAATCGAGCAAATTAATGCATGTGGAACAACGGTGATGGAAGCCATAATGTTGACTTAAGTAGCACACACACAAAAAAAGATGCAATTTAAAAGAAAATGAAAAAATTGCAACTATAATTGTAATGTAATGTTTATACCGATAACAACTGAAAAATAAAGATTTAAAACGATAATATAAATCAGCAGTAGGGTGGAATCTCTAAGCATCTCATATATGAACTAACTTCATCAATAATTCCTCTTTGATATATATTGATTAATTTTGCATTTGTTTTAATATAGACGTATTTTATTTAGTTTCTCGATAACAAGTTTAAACTTTTAATTAGCGCCACAAGAAACATTACTAACCACAAAAAAAATTGGAATAACAAATTAAAAAAGCTCAATGCACATATCATTTAAAACCAATACCATATTGATTTGCTCCGGGGATGGTAAATAATCAAAATTTGAAGGGCGAGTATAAAAACTTTTGTTTTTAAAATATTGAAATACTTATTTATAAGAATGTAATATTTTTCTATTCTGATACTAACTAAAACAAGAGTTGGAAAACACTGAAATTTATATAGATAAATAAAAAAGCATTAAGCTTAGTAACTATATATCCACAAAATTGCGGTATGTTTTCAGAAAAATAAAGTACTCGCACAATAATTACCAAAAGTAAAAGATAATAAGAAAATGAGAAGAAAGAAGGGAAAAACAAAAAGAAGACCAGCCAAAACGAGCTTTGCTAAGCTGCACCACTAATATGGGTGGAAATGAAACTAGTTAGCCACTTTTAAAGTATGATGTCATATTTTATAATATATTTAAAGATTAGTCAATTTTGTTTAAATTTTAGGACACGACGTCCTGAAGTTTATACCTCAAATTTCAAACTTCAGGACATCGTGTCCTAAGTTCGAAAATTGTGTCCAAAAATTTGAATCTTATATCATAAATTTTAAATTAGTAATTCAGAAATTTAGATCATAAAATTTAGATAAATTAGTTAATTCTTAAATATATTATAAATAGTATATATATTTTAAATAGCGAACTTAAAAATGGATATTGCACCTCGCCTTAATGCTCCATAGCCGCCACGGCCATTTTTCTTTTGCCCTTTTCACGAAAATAAAAAAAGAAACACAGAAAAATAAAAGTAAAAAATTAACGATTCCTGTTTATTCACGTAATTATAAAATTCAGAGCAAGACAAAAACAGATTGACACACCAAATAAGAAATCAATTTTCCGGTCCACAAAGAGAAGAAAAGGAAAAACAAGACAGGAAGTGAGAAACTCAAGAGAAAGCAATCAAACTCGAGTGTGAAATTTCACAACAAAAAGAAAATCAATCATCAGTTTGATTATATACTTTTTCAGTTGCTGAATTTGAGTTTGTTGATTGAAGATTTTTCAATAAAGATAAAAAGAGATGCAATCAGCTATGCTATTGAATCCTCCAGCTACCTGTTCTTCATACCCTTCTAGAAGCTTCCAAACCCTAGAATCTTCATCTTCCTCATGCTCTCCTTCTTCTTCTACCACCACTCTCTTTCTTCCTCCTCCTCCTCTTCTCAAGGTATGCCCTTTTTTTTGCTTCTTATTGTAAATCTGTTGTTTTACTGTCAATTTCTGTCCTTTTCGATTCTCTTAATTATCTGCTTTTGTTTTGCAGATTTCCGGCTTCTTTGGAACTCGATTTTCCGTGTTGACGAGGCGTAATTCGTCATCGCGTGCCGTCCGTAGTGCTTCACGGCAGCAAGGTGTGATTTCTGCTTCCGTTTACCTTGTCGTTTTCTGTATTTGTATTACCTTAATGAATACAATTTTTTTTTACTTAGGAATTTCATAACAAGTATCAAATTGATTTAGCTTTAATCAAATAATTTGGTACATATTTAGTTTGTTACCTTTTTTTAGTCGGGAATTGTGCTTAAATCATTTTGTGATAAGCTAAGTTACTCGAACTCTTCACTTTCAGTGCCGCACCCGTGTTGACGCGACGTGGGTGTGGGTATGGGTGAGGGATCCGTGTCGGATCTGGTCAACCGATTTTGGGTACTTTCACCAAAATCAACAGACAAATTTGGGACAGATACAATGATTTTTGAAAACAAATCAAAAGTTAGGGTGATATGGAAGAAAATGGAATACCTATATATAAATTTCTATGTATCCTTTTCCTTTTATCTACTTCCAAAATTCTATTCTTGTTCAATATTTTCTCCTTCTCGGAATACCTTGTAAGTTTTCCACATAATGTCTCATAATTTAGACATATATAACTCTATTTTTAAATAATTGAATTATTTTTTGTCGAATCCCCGCATCCGTATCCGTACCTGGATCCGTACCCCCGAATCTTTAAATTTAGATCATGAAGGATCTGACCTCTAGATCCGCACCCGTATCGGACACCCGCACCCGAGTCCGAGCAACTTAGGTGATAAGAACCAGTTCATTTATTTAGCGAATTTGGTTTATTTTATTTTATTGAAAATTATTAGCTTGTACTCGACGTCAAATCATATGGGGCCCATTGAGCTTGTTACCTCTTTTAATCGGAAATTTTGCTTAAATCAGTTATATGGTCAGAACCAATACGTTAAAAGATTTTAGCTTTTTTATTTGGCAAATAACCAACTGTTATATTATTGAAATCGATTAGTTTGTAATGAATTTTCTGATAATCACTTATTTAGATTATCAGAAAAGTCTCGGAAATCAAAAGGCCCTAAATTTATCTTTTCTATTTGATATGCAGATAGGATACCAAGGGTTCCTTATTAGCTTTGCGTGTTGGTTTTTAAGCTTAGATGCAAATGTTTCTGTTCTTAGTTCGATGACATACTAAGTGCTGTCGGTAGTAGTTTCCGCCTTGCTAATAAATATTTATCGGCTTTATGTTGAATCTGAAATGATTTGCTTGTTGGCTCTTGGTGCAGTTGTAAAGGCTGTTGCAACTCCAAATTCAGCAGTAGAAGAGTTACCACTTACTGCAGAAAACATTGAGAGTGTGCTGGATGAAATTCGACCATATCTGATTGCAGATGGAGGAAATGTTGCATTGCACAAAATTGATGGCAATGCTGTCAAGCTAAAACTACAAGGAGCTTGTGGCTCCTGTCCAAGTTCTGTCACGACGATGAAATTGGGAATTGAGCGTCGTTTGATGGAAAAGATCCCAGAAATTGTTGCTGTTGAAGCAGTACCAGACGAAGAAACTGGCCTTGAGCTTAACGAAGAAAACATAGAGAAGGTAGATGCTTCTCTCTGTTATTTATATGTTGCACATACAACTGGGACAGTCCTTCCAAAACTGTAAACTTGAACTAGATGATCTTCAACACATTGTGGACAAATTAAGTCATGTCCTAAATTACTTCGTCCGTTCGTCGTCATCCAAAGAGATATGGTTTCTCAACCAGTTAAGTTAGTTGTCATGCATAGGTACGTAGCTCATAAGAAAAACAGGCCATTTTACTTTCAAAGTTGGTTGAACCAGCTAAATTCCCTTCCTTGATAGGCTGACCATGTACTTGAGTCTACTGTATTAGTGCCAAGACCTGACCATACTACTCCATGGTTAGTCTAGGGCTGCTGCATAAATTGATTGTGTTCATTTTTCTTTAATTTGGCCACAGAAGCCTTCACCCGAACATGCAGCTACCCTTTTTCCTCTATTAGACTTGAAGTTTGGTTTATATCCATACAACTTGAAAAACTTATCAA